TATTGTTAATATTGCCCTTGAAAAAAATCCCTAAAGAGGACTGAATTGAAGAAACAACAGAAAAAGGACAGAGTTGAGCAAAGGGATGAAGTGCTTATGGATTGGACCAAAAATGGGAAAATTCCACTAGCCCACCAGCAATTAAAGCTCAAAACCCATACCTACCTTAGCCCAACCAATTAACCCATCTCTTCCACTGAAACCCACCGTTTTTGCTTCATAGAAATCCAAAAAAAGTGCCGTATCAGTAGGTCTTCATTTTGAACAGCTGGACCTCCCCTGGACGGTTGGACTCCTCTCCCTTCTCTGTGGATCCTCTGCTCGGTCTGGATCCTCTTTCCGGATTCTCTCATCGGCTCCTTCATAACCTCCATCTCCGATTATATTCTGCAACCAAACCACTACAGCCCCAACTGAGACCCTCACGCCATCTCCGTTTCTCCCTTTTGCCACAGATCCATCTCCTCCTCAACCACTCTCAACCTCTGAAAACCAAACCCTAAGGGATCTGAGGATAAAAAAATTGAAAACAGTTGTCCTTTCCACCTTAGCCGAGAGGTTCCGGTGGTCCCTTATCTCCGCCTCCTTCGCTGCTTTCTCCTCCGATCACTGATTTATCACCACCACCACCATTGCCTCCATATTCGGTCTCTCTACAAAGCCGCTGCATACCCTTGCTTCCTTCTTCCTTCGATTTCCTCGTAGGTATATCTCTATACAGAGGGGCTTGTGAAGCAAAATCGGGTGAGGATCTGAGGACTTCCCCCTGGGTTGGGTACGCTATGATCTGAACCCAATATTGCCTCTCAATCTCCACCTTGATTGATTTTTTTATGATGATTTCTGGGTATTGATCTGTAAAACCGTGGCATTTGTTGGTTTATGTTATTCGATTGATATTCTTTTATTGTTGTTGTTCTTCTATTTGTTGCATATGGATTCTCAGATATGCGTTTCTGAAATGGTGGGATTTTTCTTGGATGTGTGGCATTTCTTGGATAAGAAACTCTAGCTTTTGGACACATTTTTACACAATCTCTGTTATCGGATTGTGTTTGCGGGTCGGGTTGACCTAATATCTTATCTTTGTCGAATCGTTAACCATGGACTGGATTTTGAATTTCATTTGAATCTCGAATAAAGGACTTTAAAATGGTCCAAAAAAGGCCAATCAAATTTAACGAATCTTATCCCTAAAAATAAAAAATAAAAAAGATTGTTTTCCTTTTTGATCTTATTATTAATCGTAATTAATAAAATTTAATCAGTTTTAATTAAAATTAATTAAATTTGATTAATTACCTTAATTAATTTTAGTTAGTGTTTTAATTGAATTAATTTATTTAACCTAATTTATTTAGATGCAATTAAAGTCATTAATTATTTTTAATTAATGTAAATTAATAAATGATTGATTATTCTAATTAAAGTCTAATTACCTGAATTTTGCTTTATTACTCTTAATTAAGGTAAAAAGTCAACTGTTTTTTGTTTTAATTTTAATTTAGACTATTATCTTTACGAGATCAAACAATTTGGTCCAGAATTTTAATTTATTCTGAATTTGGTCCCCCATGTTTCAAATCTGTCCAGATCAGTCCTTTAATTTTTAATTCGTTGCAAGTGAGCATGTGTGTTTCTAATTTGTTCAATTGAGCCTTAAAGTTTTCAAGGATTGCAGTTTCATCCATTCACTTTGTTACATTCATATTCATACAATGTTCCAATGATTGACTAACTTTAACCATTTCTTAATTGTTTGCTTCTGTATGAAACTGTTGCATAAGAGAAATTCTAAGGCATGGTGAGCTCTCTTTTATCTTTGATTGGAAAGAACCATTTTTTTTCTCTTTCAAAAACTTGTCTGTACACTAATGATGAGAAATTTCGTCATTTTATAATTTGTTAGGGGTTCAGACAAAAGTAGTGCTATTTAAATTTTACAACAGAGCGATGAGCCAGTATCTGTTCCTTGACTCTTTTTGAAACTGTAATTGGATCATAATCTGTTGTTCATTGCTTTCTCTTCATGCTGGCTATATTTTGGTTCTTAAGTTTTTTATTATTTTTTATGATTTAACTAGTTAAGCTCTTATATTTGTGTCTTTAATGCTTTTCACTGGTACAATTTTCATCTTGGTTCATGCAAATAGTGGAAGAAAGTACTATTTTATTTTGAAAATACCTTTTTTCTTT